CTGATCCGTGTCGATCAAAATAAACAATTCTATTGGCTTTAGGTCACGTGATGGACACGGCTTTAGACGACCCCCTATTTTGGGTATTTTTCGAATAAACAACATACATCACTTATAAACAAATATTAAAAATCGTAAAAAAATTGGCTAACTTCGTGTTCATGATTCTTTTGGGTTTTATTTTTAACTACCCTTGAAATTTCTTTATTGTTCAATAAGCCTATAAAGCAAATTTTACTTATGAAATTTAGGTGCGTCGATCATTTGACCCACTATTAAAAATTTTACACACATGATGTATATATGTTAATGTATACTAAAAAAGTATGTATTTTATCTTTTATGGTTAGGATTGGGGCATGTGTTAATATTGTTCTTGTTTCATATTATGGTAAAAAACTGGTTATAGTATAACCCTTTCTGGACTAAATACGAACTACGTATCGGTATTACGTACTATCTCGACTTCTACTAAATATATAGTTTTTTTTTTTTTTGGTTTTAGATAACGATAAATATAATCTTGTTTATTGAAATTTTTTTGTAAACCGTACAAACCGTACTACTTTACTATATAGTCCGCACGCACAAAAGCTTTATTTCGTGTAATGCACCTAAGATCATGATGATACGTACGTAAGCTTTTCTCTCATATATGGTAGAGATAATCTGATATAACCTATGTTAATGCATGAATCATTTTAACGTACAGTTAAAATTTCACATTTAGGTAATTATCGGTCTTCCAGGTTTACATCCGTAATCATAAGGTTTAATTATGTAGTGCTAGAAATTTTATCGTATAGATAATATATTTTATTAATCAATTTGATGATATATAACTATGTGACGTTTTAGCGATTCTGAATTTAGAATTATGAAAATCGCCGTCCTGTGATTTATTTAATGACTGATGGCGAAATTTTACCTTTGTATAATGTAAATTACAATAAAAAAAGGCATTTGACCCCTTAAAACTTTATCTTCCAAAAACTATTATTAGTTCTTATATCCATATAACAGTAATGAGCGAAAAAGTCAAAGCAGCAGTCGTACCAGCTAAAGGTGCTAAGCTGGGAATTCAGTTGGTTGATAAACCTACTCCGAAGCCATTTATTTATGATGAATCTTCTGGAGAAAGAGGCGAATTACTTGTCAAGATCAAAGCTATTGCTTTGAATCCTGTCGATATGTGTGTAATTCTTTATTTAAACAATATTAAACAATATTAAACAATGATTAAATCTACCATAAATTATCATAAATGATTGAAATCTCTTATTTTTTTTCTGATAGCTATCAAGTAGAAAATGGACTTTTTGTTGAGGAGTATCCTGTAATTCTTGGTAATGATGTTGCTGGTATTGTAGAAGCTGTTGGTGAAGGTGTTACTGAGTTTTCCCCAGGTGATGAAATTTGTGGATTTACCAGGCTGGGAGTTCCTGGTCATTATGGTGCATTTTCTGAGTATACTTTACTTGAAGCATCAACTACTTACAAGGTCAATATTGATTCATCTTATTATCATTTAATATGCAATAATGAAATAATATATTATCCTTTATAGAAACCACCAAACTTTACTTTTAGAGAAGCCGCAACTATTCCCGTTTGTACTCTTACAGCGGGACTTGGCTTATTTGAATCATTGAAATTGCCAGTTCCTTCTGAAAACCACAGTTGGTTCCGTGAAGAATATATCTTGGTAATGTCAAGATTTATCCTTAGTTATTTTTTTTATTAAATGAAATTCTTAACTGTTAATTATTATAGATTTGGGGTGGCTCTTCTTGCGTCGGCTCCTATGCCATTCAACTTGCTGCTCATTCAGGACTCGTAGTTATAACAACTGCTTCACCGAAAAACCATCAGTATCTTAACGAATTAGGCGCTGCTTACACTATTGATTACAATGCTCCTGACGTAGTTGATCAAATCAAAAATGCTAGTGAAGGTCGATTGAAATATGCCTTTGATGCTGTTGGTAGTAAAGATACTGTTTCTTTAGGTATACAAGCATTAAGTTCAAATGGTAAGATGGCATGTGTAAGTGAACAGTCTATAGTGAAAAGAGACGGTATCGAAGTTACACAAGTGACCCTTGGTCGTGCACATAAAGAACCTAAAGGTTACCTTAAATGTACTAATAGAGTTTTAAAAGAGGTTGAAACTATGTTGCATGACGGTAGAATTAGACCAGTTAATGTTACTAGTATTCCGGGTGGACTTGATGGTATTCTTCCAGCATTGGAAAAATTGAAAGGTGGAGTCAGTGCTACTAAGCTAGTTATTGACATTGACTAATTTCATAATTATATATATATATATATTTGTCGCATGTATATTTATTTTTATTAACGTATATATATAGTAAAGTGGGTGAATTTTAAAGTGTACAAGCTCTATTCAATATATTGACTATCTTCATATGCTAAAAAGTTCCAGCAGATTTAGTTATGACTCAATTTGTTTACTTTTCAAAAAGTTATTGAAGACTAGTAATTCGTATTAAATCTGCTATCTAAACGCGCGTATATACTTGCCTAGTTGTTTACTATAGTTTGTATTTGTCCACGCCCAAATTCTAAACCCCCAATAACAAATAATTTATTCCTTATCTAAAATATATTCGTAAATATCAAAATTATCTTTTTTAATTTTGATTCTTTTTTTTCTTTTAATCGTTTAGGCCGGTTTCTTCGGGTTAAGTTCTATTAAATACTGTGCCTCCAGGAGCTCACTACATTTATTACATTGATGAGAGTACAACCAGTCACATGTATCAATAAACTAAATTCATAACTTTAAATTTAACAAAATTAATTAATAAACAATCATTATTCTCGGTTAAAAAAATATATGTATATATATAGATATAAAATACCCGAATATTTTGAGTGGTGGTGCGCAAAAAGGGGGTACTTTGGTCAATGCACTACGGTATATATTTATACGAATAAATCTCACTGAGAGATATGACTGGTATGTAAAGATAAATTCCACGAACTTGAATGCTTATTGTAATACATTAATTTAATAATTTTATTTTCGCGATAAATTTTTCCGAATTTAATTATCCACTAAATTTATGAATACATATATAAATTAGTAATATTAGGTCAGAGCTTAGTCCTACCTTCGAGTAGGTTGACGAAGCTTGAAAGACGTGAAACACCGAGAAGCATACATAACTTAGGTGGTTTTTCTTGGGGTCAAGCTTGATCAGAGATAACAATTTATATTCTCGTAACATGATAACTTTTTGTATCGCTATAACATTTCCTATTGCGTAACTTTCATACTTCTGTAATGTCATAACTTACAACTTTTTATATTACCGTAACTACTGAATCAAAGTTACCTGTTACAGCAAAAGTCAGTTATTATGACCTACATCGTTATGACACTTTTGACGTGACAACACGTCAATTGGACGTCTTCAAAGGTCTGCATCTATAACGTACGTATGTACATAATATATTATATTTTGATTAAGTTTATTCCAAAATGAATTCGATACGAATTTATGAAATTAGAGTATTTTGACTATGAAGTGCGTCATTTGCTATTTGTTATACAGTCTGCACTCCATACAGTCACTCTCCATATAGTCACACCCTCTTTATAAGCACACTACTCTTTTGAACAAACTTATCGTTATATAAAACATGAGAAATTTGACCTCTATACAGGCACAATTTCTTATAAGCATGGAACCGAGGGCGTGACTGTAGAAAGGTTTGACTGTAATTTCCAAAATTTAGGAAAAAAAACTTTCTGTTAGTGAGCAGAGGCAGGTTACGAACGTTTTTCATTTGCTTCTGATCCTGAAATTTGATTGGCCAGCGAAATTTTTAGTGCGGTGGTTGCTATCTTGGCAAATTTTGGGTCTAATTTCTTAATACTGGCCAAATCCAAATTATCATCAAAAAAAAAAAAAAATCTACTTTTAACATTAATCTTTCTCGATATTAAAATAAAATGGTGCCAAAACAAAGGTCTGGCATTGCCGTAGGCTTAAATAAAGGTCATAAAGTAACACCACGAGAACCGCGACCAAAGCCTTCTCGAAAAAAGGGGGTATGTCTTTCAGGAACAAGATCTTTATTAAATAATATACTTGGTGGCTCGATTCCTTACTTCTTTATTTTAAACAGGTCGTTGCACGTAGAACAAAATTTATCCGCGATGTAGTTCGGGAAGTTGCTGGTTATGCTCCTTATGAAAAACGTGTAATGGAATTGTTGAAAAATTCAAAAGATAAGCGTGCAAGAAAATTGGCTAAAAAGAGAGTTTGTATTCTGTTTTATTTTCATTTATCTTTTTGAATCTTCAACGATTTATTTTCAATCTTTACTTATTTCTAATTTATACCTTTTTGATAGCTGGGAACTTTTGTTCGTGCAAAAAAGAAGGTCGAAGAACTTAGCAACATCATCGCTGAGTCTCGTCGGGCTCATTAGATATCAATAGAAAATTTTTTTTTCTCTTTAGTTTTGTGTTTGATGCATTGATGTATGTCATTACAAACGTTGCGTAGTAGCCGAAAATTTAATAAATAATGGCAATTATAATTATGAATTATTATTATTAAATTTTAACAATTTGTTTGTAACCGGCGATGACAGTAACCGGATTTGTTTGGAGTTAGATTTTAGGGTCATAGCAGTTCTTGTATAGTAAAATTTGCAAGGAATATTTTTTGTTAAGATACAAAAGTTGGCTAATTTTGAGTTATTATAGTTTGAAATTTTTGAAATTTTTGAATTGTGCAATGTGATCTATACGTGAGAAAAGGAATGAAATTGGCAAAAAAATTTTTTTTTTGCGGAAAATTGATTTTTATATTATAAATTCTATAATAAAAAATAAGAAAATAAAAAAAACTTCAATGAATTATACTGCAAATTTTATCAAGATAACGGCATTGTTTCTTAAGTGAAAAATGTTCTAGATAGTTAAGCTCGAAAATTTTTTTAAAAAACTTGTCAATTTCGTCCCTTAGCACTCAGCCCATATTTTAAAGATTAGATTAGACCAGAAAATTCACTATTTATTGCAAAGTGATGAGTGACAGAAAAGAAAAATCTGTAAATTGATTCACTGCTTTCATCTTGTCAAACTCGGCCCCGAAAAATCCAATTCTCCATGATTAATTCTTAACATATTTTTATCGTTAATGACCAAGCTATTTGATCACATGTTAGCATTGCGGGATTAATTTTGCTTAAATAGATCTGATATGAATTTTGCTACGTAATACTTATCAATAATAATTATGGTATTTGTTTTTAAAATAATTATCTAAAGATTTATTATTTTAATGCTATATTAGGGTTTCTATCAGACTGGACCGGACCAAACTTTTAAGTCTGGTTTGATTTTCAAACCGAACTCAAACTTTGATATTTCAAACTTTTATTTAATCAGGTTTAGTTTGGTTCGAGTTTGGTCCGAAGTTTGCATACTAGTTTGAGTCCGAATATATATAGATGTATTTTTGAGTGCTGAACAAGTTACTTAGAGTATGAACTAGAATCAATTAGTAAAATTTTAAGAATCATAATATTTTATATAATTTTATTAATAAAATTGTATTCAAAATTTTATTAATTGATTTTAACTTTATATTTTAAGTAAACTTGTTTAATATAAAAATATATTATACTTTTAAAAAAAATTTTATAAAAATTCAAAATTAAATATCTTTTTTTAATGTTATATATAAAAGATAAAATTAAATATACTAATATAATGAAATATATACTTTAAGGCTGATTACACAGCTTTTTTTGATGATTACTTGTATTAAATTTTCTTTACAAATAATTTGTTTTTTCTTAAAATTTTACAAAGTAAATTATATTTGGCTATCTAAGTAAACTATATTCACCAATTTGATTTTTAAGAGTTTTTCTTAATAAATTGTTATACAAACTTATGTTATTAAGTGACATAAAGAATAATATACAAAACATTTATTAAAAATGTTTTTTTAGCCTTTATATAAAATAAATAAGCAGTAAATATTAAAAAAAACAGCTATTTTAAGCTATAAAGAAAACACTATTACTAGTTGTTGAAGCATTTGTATATTTTTAAATAGTGAATAATTAGTTTGTTATTTTTTAATCAGTTGTATAATGGGTAAGGAGTGAATTTAGAAGAAATTTTTGAAAAAATAGTTTTTTACCTTATTTTTAGCTAATAATTAAATATTTAAAAGTGTGTTAATAGAAACTAGAAGTGCAAATGAATTATTTTAATGATGTTGTAACTTTGTTATAACATGCTATAACTATGTTAAATAATTATAAAAAGTTACAGCAAACTTGCTATAATATTTTATAATTATTTAATATAGTTACAACACATTATAGCAAAATTATAGTATTATTAGAATGATTTATCTGCACCTCTAATAGAAACATACTAATTTTTTTAAATAATTTTTTTTAAATCTTTAAACAAAAATATCTTAATAATAATTTAAACAAATTTAATAAATTTTTTTTAAATTAATTTTATAAACTTATAAAATTTATTTTTAAAAATTGTATTAAATTTAATTAAATTTTTGTTAAGTTATTTTTGTTTAAAGATTCAAAAAAATTTTATTAAAAGATTTGATGCATTTTTTTTATTTTTTTTTAATATTAAGGTGACCACTTTGGAGTCTGGTGCATTTTATTAAACTTTGGATCAAATGCCAGGATAATCATATGGACTACCTCTTACTTTGTTATAGTGTTCTGAAAAAAAGATCTGAGATCCGGATCTGATTCGGATCCATCTGACAGATCTGGTTCGAATCCTTAATTTTGCTGGAACTGTACAGATCCAGAACCATGCAAGGATTCGATCAGGTAATATCCGATTCAGATCTGTTTGGGTATCGTACACTAATTGGCCAATTTTGTATGAAATTCTCTTTTGGCTTTTCATTGATTCAAATAAATTAGTGTGACAATAAAACACTGTATGTTATTATTATTTTTATAATGGTAATATGCAGATTCCAAAAATTACATTGTGTTATGTTGTGAGCAATTGTTGTAGGTCACTGTTCATATGTACAATCACTTGAGTTTTGCCAAAATTGTATAATTGTACAAAGTTATTTTGATAATATGAATCATGGTTTAACCCACTATATTAATTTGCTGGCCATTTACTGCGTCATTGCTATTGCACTAACAATAATGAATAGAAAATTTAAATTTAAATATATTATAAATCAAGAATGGCGCTTTTGAATGGGCAGCAAATTAATATATTGGGTTAAACCCTGATATGAATTAGCGATGAGAATTTCTAATTGTTACCTATATAAATCATGTTAATAATTTAATTGTTAAAATAATTTATATATAAATTTATATATAAATCA